AGTGACGCTGTATAGAACATTAAGTTGGTTTATTAGTTTGCGTTCTTTCACGGATGATGCAGCGTTCATGTCCTGTTCTTTGTGTATTTTCACTTCATTTGTCACTGTAAATTTCCATCTCTCCCCATCGTTCTCATTTTGCCTCTGTCTCCCTCTAATCATTCATCTGTTCTCAGAGTCAGACTAAAGTTTGTTTCAAAGGTCAGCAGTACAAGTCAATCATTCTGGCAGGTGAGATACAAACATATCATGGTCTGTCAGAAGTCAGTTGAGTGACTGATGTATCCACCCTGCTAACAGTGATATGGAAGAAACAAGCACAAGGAGGCTGAACACACTTTGTTCAGAAATGTCATCTACACACAGTATAATCACATCAATGGTACACACACATGCTGGTACATATCAGCAGTTGTATTAAAAAAGTTTAGTTACTTACTGACACAGGAATCGAGAAGTTAGCCAAGTGGAAATGAAATGTCAAAACTGTCAAAATTAATTGAATATAACAGCATCATTTTCCGGTTTTACAGCTAAACATTTGAGTAAAACGATTTGTTTAGTGAACTGTAAAAATAACAAATTGGAATTTGACCCTTTTCATGTTTGCATAATTTTCAAAAGGTCAGTAAAACTCTAGATAAAGTGTGAAATTGAGTCTTAATTAATAAAGAATGCGTACTGTTGTTTGGTTAAACGGACTGATCTGGCAACCCTGGTCTTGCACAATTCTCATCCTATTCTTAAATCATCTTTACCCTTTCAAACACTCAGCCAGTCATTCAGCGCTGCGCCGGGGGGGGGGCATGAAGACAGAAAGATGAGGAGAGGGGGAAGTGCAGGTGGAAAAAGGTTTTGGTTTTCATTTAATGGAAAAGAGATAGGGAATACATACTCTAAGTGTGGAGCAAGAAATTAATTAGATAAGAAGGGGAGAAAGGATGCTGATAGGAAGGTTAGTGAGAAAAGAGAGCTCTGGGAAGTTAGTGTGAAGGGCAAAGTCGGAGAGAAACCGTTACCATCATTTCACCTCATAAAAATGTCTTTGTGTTGGCCGAGAACGTGATGGGCCGTGTGAAGACCCTGCGGACCGGGCCACAGCACCACCTTGCATTATCAGCATTTAAACTCACTGTCTTTTGTGAATATTAAACTTTATGTAGCGGCAGATTCTGGCATCGTGTAGCTTAAAGGGACTATTTGACATTTCGGGAAATATGCTTAATCACTTTTTGCTGAGAAATCACTCTTATGTGTAGAAGGTAAATATGAAATTTATAGCCAGCAGCTGCTTAGCCTAGCTTAGCATAAAGACTGAAAAGAGGGAGAGACAGCTAGCCTTGCTCTGTCCAAGGATCAAAAGCCACCTACTATCTCCTGAGTGAGGGTAAATGGAGTTCCCCACAAGGATGTGAGCTTACACCGCATTTATTTATCCTCTACAAATAAATGTGTCAGAATAGGTATGAAAACAGGACCATCCTAAAGTATGCAGATGACTCTGTTATTGTTAGCCGGCTCCAGGACAATGAGATCAGCCAAGGCCCGAGATGACTTTGTCAAGTGGTGTGAGGAGTCCTATCTTCAACTAAACATATCTAAGACAAAAGATATGATCATTTATAGTTGATAGTACATAATTTTGGAAGACTTGCCAACATATATGAAGTCACATTAAAGATGACAGTGGAATGTGTTCAATGTTACAAATACCTTGCGACAATTCTTGACACAAAACTTTGAGACAAATTATGAAGCTTTGTGCAAGAAGGGGGAACAGTGATTGTTGTGTCTGGGGAAATTGTTCCATTTCCACATTGACAAGAGCATGATGACCTTATTGTACTGTGCTTTTGTTGAGTTGATTTTATCTTTTTCTCTGCTGTCTGGTTTGGAAACCTATCTTTAAAGAGCAGGAACTCTCTGAATCAAATTGTTAAATCGTCCGGTAAGGTGACTGGTGAGTCACAGTTTAAATCTAGCGTCCCTATACACCAGGCATTTACAGCAGATAGCTGGCTCAATTTTAAATGACTCCCCCCACCCTTTGAACAGTGAAGTTCAGCTTCTTCCTTCTGGACAAAGGTTCATAGTCCAAAACTGCATAGTCCAGCATCCATCCCTCATATAATTTATTTATTTATTTTTATTTACCTTGTGCACCTGGTGTTGTCTGTGCTGTTAAAGGTGTATCTGTAAGATTGATAACTCTTTACTGCACACCAAATTTACAAATAAGCTAAGCTAACTGGCTGCAGCTTCATGTTAAGCATACAGATATGAGAGTGGTGTCAATCTCCTAATCCAGACTTTCGACAAGAAAGTGAATAAGCACATTTCTCAAAATGTATAACTATTCTTCTAACCATTACTTTGTCTTTCCACACTTCCACTTTACACACAAACATTCCTCGTCATCATCAGATTTTCTGCACCTCACTAAATGCAAGACACCTGAACGGCATGTGCTCCAAGTGATTAGAGAGGAATGATAATATTTTTGGAGCTATCACCTTGCCTGTAGGTGGAGGAGGTGGAATAACTATCCATTCTCTGTCACAGTCTCTATTAGAAGCACTCTAGAAAGCTGGTGGGCCCACTTAGCACTGTAATAAATACTCTGAGAGCCGAGGGACGGCGGAGAGACAAGGAGGGAGAGGAAAGTGAGCGATGAAGGAGAATTGATGAAGAGATGAGAAAGAGGCAGTAAGTGGAACTCAGAAAGAGAAAGACATGGAGGTAGAAGAGGGAAGAAGAAGTGGAAATTGTTATGAAATAAATAGAGCGATATGCAGTGAGAAGACTGAAAGTGACAGAGAGAAGCCAGTGAAGCTCTAGAGACACCCCCAAGCAAACTACTATAAAAGAGACCCCAGTTGTAACACACATTTGATCTTTCCCTCCCCTTTTCCTCTTTTTTCTTCTTCTGTGGGATGTGAATCGGTCATAGCTGCCAGCAGGGGCTTGGCAAACACAGAGCAACATGGGTGACGCAGCTCGGAGGACTGTTTCCTCCCAGTTCTGTATTGTCTGGACAGCCATTTGTGTGAATTATGACCCAGCCCCTAGCTAGACACAGCAAACATCTGCTAGCTGATTGGCTCATAAATTCACGCAGCCCCCTAACGCCCACCATCCATTGTGTTGTCTGTTGTCAAATAGAAACAACAAGAGGCCTGCTCTGTCGGGCTTGTTCCAGGTCCCTGTGGTGATGACTGGAAAAGGATTGCCATAATGTGATTTCTTGCTGTGATTGCTGCTGCAATTAGGGCTGTTCTTGAAGCTCATTTGAAAATGTAAAAAAAAAAAAAAAAATTGTGATGCAGGAGATTTAGGTCAAGTCAGTAAATGAGAATTTAGAAAGAGCAGCCTTAGTTTGAAGTTCAGCTCGATTTTTTTTAATCAAGAAAGATCAGTCAGCAACAAAAAGCCCATCTATTTTTTTTTTTTTTTTTTTTAAATAGTTCATAATTGAACTGAGGTTATTACCTCTGGATTGCCAGCAAAGCAGGCAACCGCCCTGGGACACAAGAACTACAGGGAGCTTCAAGAATACAATGTTTTGCGCTAAGTTCATTGAAAATTTGTCTGTGAATATGCACCACTAAAGCACAATATCAACTTACATGATAAAGGCCGTAATGTGGGTCCTGCTTTACTTTCTAATCTTGAGGTGCCACACTGAAGAAAGTCAAAATGTAGTTTTAAAACCATTATTATTTTCATTTTGTGTCTATTTTCTATACATTTTATTTAGCCTAACAAGTCAAGTCCCACTGAGGTTGGAAACCCGAAGGGGACCTGGCCAAGATAGCCGCAGAAACAGTTGCAAACAAAACAATGCAAAATCCGACAATGGATGAAACTACACTAAAAATGGGTAACAACACCAAACTAAGGCGAAAATTAAGTTAGCTAGAATCTGAGACAAATAAAGTCCGTCATTTACCATAGGATTTACAATAGTCCTGTATTCTGTGATCTGAGATCTCAGATTCAACAATTTAAATTCCTTTTGCAGACTATCCAAGTGGCTGGAGCAGAAAACATAAATGCTTTCTTTAATCATCATGGGACAGTAGATGTGTAGTGTACGTCTTGTGATCTGGGATGATGATTATATGTTGCATATTTCCAAAAATAATATGGTTGATCAAATTACTCCTGCAACAACTCTGATACTAAGTAGTATTCAATCAGAAAAAACTGTAAAAAACAAACAAACAAACTGTATTTAACAGAGCATGGGGGGAGATTAGAGGGAACCAGCTGCTAATTTTTTGCCCTGGGGTCCCACAGCAGGTTAATCCGGTCATGCCTCTACCATGTTTGGCATCCTGTGCTCTGTAATGGTCCCAGTGGTTTTCTCAGAGAGGATATGCAAGGCCACCAGGCTCATAACTCCTTTGCTATAGGATGCTGTGACATGTACTGTGCAGTAGCCTATGCATAAAAAGTAAATTATACTGCAGCCTCTTTCACACTATCTCCATTGTGTGCCTCTGTCTGAAGATCTTTCTCTATAGACTAGGTGACTGATTCAAGGAGAAAGTCAGTAAGGGATAATAGTAGTTAGTGATGTTAAATTCATCATTGTAGTTCATGAAAACTCCACAACCCTCTCTTGAATTGGCTTCTCAAATATATTGTTTATTCTCTACACATGCCACAGAGAACACACATGCACCTTCATGTAATCTTTGCCCTCTAACTCTAAGGTCAGCGTAGTTACAAGAAGTAAAGCGGCTTAGACTTGTTATGCAAGACATGCATACACTACAGAATTAGCCCCGTAAGAGAGAAAACAACTTAGTTGTGTGGGCAAGTCGACATTCCCATTAAGAAATACTTTCATTTACACACAGAGCAGCGGGTAAAACGAGTCAGAGACATAAATAAGGATTAAACTTGGTCAAAATTCTCCACAAATGCTTCATTCAGCCTCTTTTTTCTATGCTTTACCATGAGAAACTCCTCTATTTGCACAGGTGTGTTGTTACCTTTGATTCAGGTTGGCTGGGCACGGTCGCCTGGGGTCGGTGAAGGTCCCTGTTTTGTGGTTCATTCTCCTTCTCACTGATTTCCGTCATCTTGGATTAAGAAAAAATGCTCCTTCAGCTGCAAAACTTGAGCAAATTGATGAGTCCACTTCAACAGAGGAATGAGGAAACTAAGCTCACAGATGTTTATACATCGCTACAGTCTCTAATCCAACGGAATAGAGCTAGTTTCGACTGTCAAGTCATCTTTCGTCGGAGGCATCCATCTGGGGATTCGTTTCTAAGTGTAATAAGATATTCCGTCGAAATGGTGCTTATTGTTTTTGGGTTTCAGACTCTAAATTGACACAGAACAGGCTAATTAAACGTGTATTTCGCGGAGGTAAATATCCAGTAGCAGCAGTCAGTCGGCTTGCCCACTTCCCTCCGCTGCCTCGTTCCTCTCTCATGCACCGGCCACCAGCTTTTGCCTCCCCTCGCGCACACACACGCGCGCTTCTACAACAACTTTGATTTCGCCGTGACAAAGTGCACGGCTCGTCCTGATTGGTCCGCACGTCTTAAAATACGCCAAACAGGATGCGGTGGAGCGCGTCGGGATTGGCTGAGACACGATGACGCAGGTACGCACTGGTTGGCACAAGTTGCAGGTGTATCAAAGAAGAGCAGATGAGGTCTATAAACTTCAGCAATGCAGCTGTGAAAACGCTGTTGTTTACAACTGTAATAAATGGGACACACCATAATAAGCAAATAGGCTTTTGTATTTCATTTTAGCAACTCACTCTACTGGGAGTATGAACTCTCGTTTGGTTTGTTAGAATGTAACTCAGCACATTTAGTACATTTACTCCATTTACCTTAATTGAGTTCTTCCTTTTGTGGGTAGCATGTCTTATGTTTCTATTTTACCCCATTTTAGAGGAAAATATTGACTTCATACTCCACTACACTTATTTGATCGATATAATTACTTGTTACTTGTTACTTGTTACGTGAGTAAGATTTTATCTTATTCAGCAGTAGGCTATAGGTATAACATTTTGCAATTTAAAAAAAACAAAAAACAGGACTTTTACTTGTATGGGGTATTTTTACACTGTTATATTGCTACTTTTATATAATAAATAAATCAAGACTTTTCCCACAACTGGAAACATCTGCAGTCATTTTGTTTCTCCCATTATTTATTCAGGTTTTTCCTGATTTTGTGCACCATCTGTAGCTCTTGAACCCTTGCTTTACTCATTGAGAAACCTCTGTACTCCCTAGGAGCAAGATTTCAATAATTGAAGGAGTCGAGTAGAGGGGTGGGAAGAGAAATAAGGCCTCCTACCTATCTATCTGTAATGATCACGCTGTACATTCATTTTATCTTTTTATACATACATATATGTACTTTGGTTGCTGTTTGCACTATCTGGTTAGATGCTGAGCTGCAATTGAATTTACTATATGAAATGACAATAAAGCCGAATCTGATCTAGTATGGTGGCTATTCGTCGATAATCAAAATCAAACTTCACATATCAAAAATTAAGTCTTTTTCTAGTTTTCTACTGGTTTATTTGTCCTTGGAAATCAAGCAAACAATAAAACAAAGAAATCATGTTTCCCTCTTTTGGTCCTATATCTATACTAACCTGAGGTAATAGTCCTACCTAAGCTTGTAAACATAATGCACATATCTAAAATAAATCAAATGCCCAAAACAAATAATGAATAGCCCCTACAACTCCTTTTAGTGTACATACTGATGCTGATGAAATTAATTTAATTATATAAAGATTAAAAGTACACTGCACAATATCTGAGGGCCATAGGTGATTATAAAGACGCAACAGTCCACAAAGAGCACCAACAGCAAAGCAGGGGTGGCTGATTCAGCACCAAGGACAGCTCCTCTCCGCCTGCCTGCCTTCGTGTGTGTGTGTGTGTGTGTCACTAATTATCAGCCTTCCCCGCATGTAAAATTGCACATTTTTACACACACCAAATGATGTTTATTTTTAATGATAGAATTCCTCTTATCAAGCATCTTATTTTTGCTTGTTGCATTAACAGCCTGTGTGAAGTGTCTTCCACAACACTGAGCTAAGTATAGAACAAAGGAATGACACTGACTACTAATGATTGCTGCTTCTCACCCAAGCAGATATGTGAAGTTAACAGGACGATTCTATCTCTACACTCTTTAAAAAAACATTCTGGAGATGTCACAAGTAAACTAAGAGTACATCCTTCTTTAACTGTCGAGAGAGACATTCTCTCAGACACAGAGTAGGTCTTTAGACTGTGTTCCCAGTGTTTTGGCCTTGAGCAGCTTGACAGTTTACTGAGAGCCTCTGCCACTCTCCATCACTGAAACAATATTGTTTTGTGGTGCAGCAGGTAATTATGCAAATGAAAGACCATATTATTTTTTATCATAAATGCATGAAAAAGCTGGTAAGGACTTCTAAAGGGCTTCTCAGTGTAACTGTGTGCGTGAACCAGAGACAGAGCTACTATCAGCTTTAAAATTTACCTAAGTGAAGTGAGTGTGTGATCTTACTCCAGGTATCTTTCTGCCTATATAATCTCTAAATCCACACAGCTCTCATTGCACATTTATTTCCTTATGCTCTAAAGTGGTACAGTTTTAGTTTCCATGTAACAGATCTGATTTGTGTTCATTTTGCATTCGTCAGACTAAAAACCACATAAGCATTTTGAATTGTATGTTTTTATTCAACCGAACATCCTCATGGCCATTTGTGTATTATATAAGTTTAATAACTGTTGGCCATTGACAAACATCACAAAACGTTATCAATCTTTCACAACAAAGCACATGGAAGACAAAAAAAGGGAAAAAAACTGTGATATCCTTTTCTCTAATGTCATGTTGGAGCACTAGCTGGTATCCATTTTGCAGCATCATCTTTTATTAACTGCTCGGGGGAACTTTTTTCGCTCTACTTACAATACACCAGCCTCCATCCACTCACTCCCCTCTCTTTCTCTTTCTCTGCCTCTTTTACGCAAACATACTCAAACACAGACACAGTGTACCTTTGACATCTAATTGTGTTAGACGTACTTATAGGATCAGTAAGTATGGAGGAAATAAACATTTTTCAAAAGACAAACATTGTCACTTTGGCCACAAAAGAGTGGATCGTGTGTTTTCAAAAATCTAAATCTTTTACTTTACCTATCTTACACCTCCAGTCTTAGTTTTTGCCCTGCAGCTCGTGTCTTACTGCATTTGCACATCTGTCACCTAAAATATACGTTGCACCAGTCATTGCACACCATCTAAATTATAGGAACCTGCATTTGTGTGAGTGTGTGTGTGTGTTTGTACTGTGTGCGTGTAAAGTGGAGCTGCCAGGAGCAAGAGCAGAGGATTAGGGTCCCATCTCTGGAAGGCACATGACCTGATATGACTCTATTTAATCTTCCCATCCGCTCAAATTAGCATAACCCTATTCTCTCTGTGCCTCCCCTCTATCTATCCTCCCTTCTTCTCCTCTCTCATTTTTAAATCCATCACTCTGCACTGTCCCTCTTGTTTGCTCGTTATCGCCTGTCCTCTATGCCAACTTTGTTTCCCATCTAATTCCAGTGGAAAAGGAGCCACGACGCAGCATGCAGTCCAGTGAGGCAGCTGACGTCAGCTTTTTCTCAGCGCAGGGTGGCCAGAGAGTTTTGTTTTTACTTTGGGATGCTTTAGTTTGGTTCTGCTTGTGTTGTGGTTCATCTGGAGTCCGACAGGTTCCCATGTGGTGCTGTTTGGTTACAGTACAATACGGATCCTTTTCAAAAGTGATAACAGTGGAAGAATTGGTTACAGCGGCTGATGCTGGACTGCAAAAGGTCAATCTATCTGCCATTATCTTGTATATGATGCATGTACAGATATGTCTCAATATTATCATAATTATAAAAAAGTATCTTTTAAAACAGAACATTAAGGTTTCTGGGGTTTTTTTTCTCACTTTGCTGAAAGAGACATCTAGGCCATAATTATGATACAATACCGGGGTGTGACCTTGCCAATGCAAATATTATCTCACTATCATCTTGTCCTCAACTTCAAAAGAAAGTGCAGGAAAGTAAAGTTTGTATATGCACATCCCACCCAAGGCTCAGGGATCTTCCCTGCGTGGGTCCAACAGATTTTATGAAACAAAATTAAACCACAGAATTCACCCGGGTAACATCAAGTTGTCATAAATGCATCAGTCAGCTGCTGACCTTGGCAATTCACATATGCTATCGGCCTCAAAAGGAAAATATCTTAATGGTAAAAAAAAGACATAAATGTGATGTAGTGGTAAATTTGAAATAAAGTGAAGAAGGAATGGTACTTCATAAACTTAATATAGGCTATTAAGTCATTTTTACCAGCAGGAGGCTACTACTTAAATGGTGGTGGCTTGGCTCACAGAAAATTATTGTGTGGAGTGCACATTAAAACACAAGACACAGACAAAAGGAAATATACAAACAAAGAAAATAATACAATTCAGAACACAAGCAACAAACCATGGATGATTGTAACAAATTAAATTAGCCGATCATCCTCATTTAATGCACCCACAATCTTGGCATTTAGGTGCTTCCACGGGTCTTACTAAACATAGGACTCTAATATATATGCAATATAAAACAATCAATTAAACATTCAAACAAATGCATTCTGAATAGAATGAGGTCATAAGGGTAAAACGTTGACCTTACATAGATTGTATCCTTGTTTAACACGTGGTGGAAAAATGACTGAGTTTTCTGTGAATGTCTAGAAAGTAGTTGGGTGTGTGGTTATAGGAGAATTCCATCAATTTTACACATAAAAAGTCTCTTTAGAGGTCTTGGAAAAGTACTACTGCTCATACTGTATATGAAAAAATACAGTACAGTACAATACGTACAATACAGGCTCCAGAGGCTCCTCAAATGTGTTGATCCTCATCTCTGCTTAGTGTAGCAGCTCGAGCCTACATTAGCTGCTACTAGCATAGCACACCTGAATCTCTGTCCAAACTGTCGGCAGACAAGTTGCACTTTGGCTACTGTAGGCACAAGATTTTGAAAAAGGAAGAGGACTGTTGTCCATGTGTCAGACACTTTCAGTACTCAAGTCCAAAGCAAACTGCATAACTCAAACTGTGATTATAATCCTGAGTTGGCCATGACATCTGACTTTCATGATCTTGGAGAGTGTGCATTAGTTTGTGTGAAATCAGGCAGGTCCCAGAGGACAGTCGCCGCAGTTTATCTTGTTGTGTGCAGAAGGGTTTAAGATGCAAATCTCTTGCCTCCAAAATTGAGCCTCAGAGCAGTCAGAGCTGTCAGGATTTGAACTTTGTGACTTGAATCCAGACAAATCTGTACACAATCCTG